CAATGGAAAGAGCTGTAGGTCTTCGGTAACACACTAGAAGGTAAGTTTAGACTTTCTTTTTGTTGCATTATTAGATATTTTCATTCTTCTCCTATCCTTCTAAGCATGACTTTATTGCTTTTTTCAGGGTTTTCTAGGTTTTCTTTAGAGCCTCCTTTCCCAGTCCGTTTTTTTTTGCATTTGGGAGCAATGCACATTTCACCCGTAGAATTTAATCATTGTATACGATTATATTTATAAGGAAAAAGCAGGAACAGGAAAAAAACGGGGTTACAAAACTTGACATTGCAGAATAATTCGCAATGAATTAATTGTAAAAGCACATACCAATACTAGACCAATGAAAAAAACGCGGGCCAACATAGAATTCAAATCAAAGGTAGGCGATTTTGTTCTATACTTATTTTTATCAAGATTTTGTGAAATGTAAGATAGCCTTTTCTCCTCCATTTTTGGGACACACTGTGTATGAGCCACTGCTCAACATTGAGAGCTGTTTTTGTATCGGGTCGCGTTATTTATATTTCGTGTAAAGAATTTGTATGTATATAGTAGGTACATTAATTATTACTCATTACACTAGCCATTCGTATTTTAAGAAATAGGTCATCGCTAAGGCACAAGATTTACATTGTGTGAAAAAATGGTTAGCAGTTCTCCGACCATTTACCAAACAGGTAAACGCCACCACCTGTAGAAGGTATCGTGGAGCATTCGGCAGGGATATAGGATATGAATGAAAGCGAATGTGAATTTCCATGGTATGCTGAATCGAGAATTCCCTGGAATCTTGGTATACGCAAATTGAATTGTTTTGTTGTAGATTTTTTAAGAACGCAACAATTTTTCTTAATATCTGAGCGTTGTAGATTGCCACGCGTTTAAAAAATATTGCGTAGTAGTTCTTTTTTACCAAGCTGTCATTTATTTAAATTCAGATTCAGATCTTATTAAGGAAAGAACTAGAAAATGCCAGCGACTACGCTGCTTGTTACTTTATTAAGCGAATGCTACATTGAGGTGTGTGCTATGCACAACGTCAAACGTGAAGTATACCGTACAGGCGTACACACAACAACCTCAATGCACCAGGCCGCGGCCCTGACACATAATTTGGTAAACATGCTCCAAATGCTGCAATTCACGATCCTCCTTACTACATCACTCCCCATGGAGTTTTATGGGCCACACCAATACCCCTTAAGTCCATCCTGAGTTGAAATCGTTCTGGCAAGTTAGTTTTCTTCCTTTTTAGTGAATTATGCAAAATATTCGTGAGAAATCGCGCGTTTAGTTCACGAGTTAGCTACAAATGACTGAATATAACGGTTAACGAGTCGCATACAGAAATTTACTTGATTTTGCTAAATAACAGTCATCAGATATTTTTATTGTACGAAGGCAAGAAATTGAATAAAAAAATACATTCCCAACACATTTCGAAATTTATTTGTTAAAGCATAAATACAGAAATTACAATAAACTGCGTTAAAGAACAATTTAACGGTTGCGTGCGGGTACAACAAAAGTCTATTCAAATGTAAACTCAGGTACTTCGATAAGATTTAATCATCTACGAAATAAAAATTGATAAACGACACAACGTGCCCATTTTAACAGATATAAAGGAATGATTAGTTTCCATTTCAATCGGCGTACATGTTTGCCGAGTTAGGCAGACGTATTCAAAACGTACTTTCTATACCCAAAATATGATAGTGCTATCGCAAGATTTCGGATAGCAATTAAAAGTTCCCGAAATCGTGTACATCAACTAAATTGGAGCAGCCTTAAGAGCAGCCTAATAGCCCAGGCATTTTAGATCAGAAATGGGGTCAACCCTACGAAAAATAACGTAAATCTGAAAGTTGGCACAGTTGTTCTATTTGATGCCCTGAACAACATATAAAAAGTCCCAAGAATTCCCATGTCGGCTTCCTTGAAGTTCGGGCTTTCGAAAGTCCGAACTCTTGAAATCTGCACGACGCCACTATAATTATAGCCTAGCGGACGAACGGAACAAGTCCCAGAGTCGCGGGAGGGCTTAAATTAAAGATTAGTAACCAGGCTATCTTTTGATATTTTTTGCAAGTGCCAGTGACAACTTCCGGCCAGACAGGAAGTGGAAAAAGACCGCGAAACTTGACAAAAAAATCGGTTTTTGTTTTTTGTTTGGACATAGGTGCGGTTTAGCGTCCGATATCGGAAAAATGACCAAAACAAATGTTGTAGAGCGTAGTTTTAACTCTAAAACCGTACCCTCTGCGTTGAAATCCGACCAATAGGAGGGGAGCTACAAACCGTTAAGTGCGATCCCACGCGCCGCTCGCCGTTGCGCGACTTGCCTGAGAGGTGCACCAGATCGACCAGATACAGTTGGCTTAATAGCGGCGCATCTCTGACTTATTTGTATTTTGACTGTGAGCGTTTTAGACTTTTGGAATGTGTTTAGTGCGTAAATTTTGAGGGAAACTGTACTGTATTTTTTTCTAAACAAAACAATCCAAATAAAAATTTTTTGAGTAAACTTCGTCGTAAAACAAAGGGGGTTCGGGAACATTATTATATATAACATTATAACATTATTACAGCTCCTGCCTCTACAATGCGCGCACATTAAAGTGCAGTGTAGGTTGGCAGAGCGGCACGAACAGCGGTTAAAACAACCTTGCTGGCAAGCGCAAGAAATCAGATGTAGATGTTCGTCTGGTGCTGGTGGCAGACTTGTCGGATTTGGAACAAGTGTGGGCCCCATTTTTCTCCAGCCCCAATCCGTTGGCAAGAGACTGTTCGATGGCCATTCGTGAACCTAAAGCAAGGAAAATAAGAAATAGAATTAACTAAATCTTTCTAAAAACTACTGTACAATCAGATTCCATATCTCACTTGCAAGTACGTCCGCAAACTGTGTTGCTCGGCAGCGGCGGTTGTTGGCGGCAATGTAGCTAGATCAAACGTAGCTTTGCTTTGCTACTGCGCGAGCATAGAGGTGAATTTGGAGATCGTCTAGGCTTTGATTGTCTTCTTTACTGCCGTAGAGATGGACAATACATTTTTCACCAGCTGATACGAAGGATTCTTTTGGCGTGCCCGGTTTGTTGAACGTGAATGCAAGATTTTGTAGGTGTGGGTTTTCTAAAAGCTTCCATGCCTTCTTTTTTCCTTACTACAGCGCCGATGTAGTATCGCAACCCTTTATCGCATGAAGGAATAGTAGGCAGTCTTTCTTCGCGCCTATTCCGTCGTATCAGCTGGTGAAAAATTTATTGTTCATCTCTACGGCAGTAAAGAAGACGGTATAACTCTCGCCAGGAAAGATTGCCGATCACAGCGCACCTTGTGTAAAATTACAATCTATGTTTTTTTAAGATGCGAGCGACTTCCGGAATATAGGATCGTGCCAATGTTGAACGAAAAGACTTTTCGTTCAAGATTGGCACGATCCTATCCTGGAAGTCGCTCACATCTTTAGAAAAAGACAGGTTGTAGACCGGGATCAGGTCTTCTGTGACCGGCAATCTTTCCTAGCGAGATGTTTATATTGAATCTGATTGTACAGTAGTTTTTAGAATGATTTAGTTAATTCTATTTCCTATTTTCCTTATTTTAGGTTCAAGAATGGCTATCGAACAGTCTTTTGCCAACGGGGCTAAAAAAAATGGGTCCCACACTTGTTCCAAATCCGACAAGTCTGCCACCAGCACCAGACGAACATCTACATTTGATTTCTTGCGCTTGCCAGCAAGGTTGTTTTAACCGCTGTTCGTGCGGCTCTGCCAACCTACATGCGCCCATTGTAGAGGCAGGAGCTGTAATAATGTTCCCGCCCGAACCCCAGTCCGAAGACGAAGAATCCGATGGAGAAGGAACGTCGAATTAAAACAGCGAACCTGTCTTTGTTTTACGACGAAGTTTACTCAACAATTTTTAATATGGATTGTTTTGTTTAGAAAAAAATACTGTACAGTTTCCCTCAAAATTTACGCGCTAAACACTTTCCAAAAGTCTAAAACGCTCACAGTCGAAATACAAATAA